TTAGTAATTTCTAAGAGACATTATAACTTCGGCAAGATCTTTGTTAGAGGACCATAGATCCGATTTTATAAACTTCAGAAGTTCTAAAAGAGGTGTCATATTTCTCTATTTCTTCAAAAGCCGAGTATAAATCTTGTATTTTTTCATTTTTATAGCAAAAGGCTCTTGGTTCTTTATTTTCATTCGCTTTGCCTCAGCCTTTTCAATATTATCCAAATATTTCTCAAAATCTAATTCATCAGTGCAAGAGGATGATAGAGACTCAGTTGCAATGCCTGGAGTTTGACTCTCCTGATTTGAATACTCCAGTTGTTCTGAGAATAATTCCATTCTTAGTGAAAGTTCATAGATGGCTTTCTTTGCCTTTTTAATTTGTTCTTCAAAATAGAAAATAACTATTTATTAATGTACATAGTCCATAAATAAAAATATTAACTCAGTTTGTCATTCTTTTTTTAGTCCAAAGAGATTTGAATCCCGAAGGACTATTAGTTTCGTTTTGGCATTTTGCGTCGGACTCAAATGTCGGTTCACTTTTCAAACTGTTGCCACAAAATGTTAGAGTCCTGCATTATATTTGAAGAAATTAAATAATTAAAAATCTGCATAAATGTATGTATATTTCTCGTATTGTGATAAAACAACGGTACATAGAGTCATCGAATTTTGAATAACGTAATCCTCCAACGAATATGAGCATTGTGGAAGACCAAATTTCAAATTTGAAATTTGTTTTATGATCGATTTCCTATTTTTAAAACTTTGATGAATTTTTGATTAACAAACTCAAGGATTTCAAAGCGAGCAATGGCAACGTTGTGCAGAAAAAAAAATTATCTCCAGCGCGTGAGTCTCTGTATCGGAAATTCTAAAGATATGCTCGTTTTAAAACTATTTTGCGATATTGCTGTTGCACTGGATCTTATGGTTTAAGTGCGAGGAACATGATATTTAATAAAGAAAGGTAACACACAAAATGTTAAAAAACGCCCCTTTGGACGTAATTGCATAAATGTATGTATATTTCTCGTATTGTGATAAAACAACGGTACATAGAGTCATCGAATTTTGAATAACGTAATCCTCCAACGAATATGAGCATGTGGAAGACCAAATTTCAAATTTGAAATTTGTTTTATGATCGATTTCCTATTTTTAAAACTTTGATGAATTTTTGATTAACAAACTCAAGGATTTCAAAGCGAGCAATGGCAACGTTGTGCAGAAAAAACAAATTTATCTCCAGCGCGTGAGTCTCTGTATCGGAAATTCTGAAATCTTCAGGCTCGAAAATTGAATTAAAACTATTTTGCGATACTGCTGTTGCACTGGATTCTTATGGTTTAAGTGCGAAGGAACATGATGTTTAATAAAGAAAGGTAACACACAAAAAATGTTAAAAAAACGCCCCTTTGGACGTAATTTAAAATCTGAAACATTTCAGTTCCCCCCCCCCAAATTCACTTTAATTTTATTTCAAATTCAAACCGTCCAACAAAAACTGGAGTCGGAGTCGACGTGTTTTTAGCGATTCCGACTCCTTTTACAGCCCTGGTAACAAGTGTCAGAAAAACGCGTCTACAGAGAGACTTTCCGCAAAAGAAAATGTTAATCATTTGCATTATCAACTTTTAAAGGGTTAAAACAGCAAAATTTTTCTGTAGAGGAGGGGGAGGGAATCATTTAAATTTTTTAAAGAAAGCTAATATTCCATGAAAACAAATACATACCGATACTCAAAGCTTGCGGCATCTTATAAAGAAACGGCATTTTCAAAAACTACGCAATTTATAGGACTCTTTACATAGTATATTATTAAAAATTGATTAATTTGTATGTGTGTACGTATGTATATGGACGTATTAAGTTCGTTCCTGGCCTTGTGGTAAAACATTTGCACCTAGAGCCTCCAAATTTTGAACACACATCGTTGAGCCGAATTTATGCACTTCGAAGACCAAATATTGACTTCAAGGTTGTTTTCTTATGCATTTTGTTTTGCGTGAACTTGACGAAACTTCGACTGACAAATTCAGACTTAAAAAGAAATAGATTTGACTCCGCAATGCACAAGATATTTATCTTTCAAATGTAATCAGCAAACTTAATAATTTAAAAGAAAAAAATCTAAGAACTAAATGAAATAAAATAACTATCTTCCAAGCTCCAAAAAATATTTTTTTTTTTAATGTACTCAGTCTGTTATTGATTCACAAGCTAACCGATTTATAAACAATTAACTCAGTTCTTCATCTGTAGTATTATTAATTACTAGGCGAAATTATACCTGATGGAATTATTAAAATCATTATATATTTTTCGATTTCATAATAACAATTTTAGTCTACTAGTTGTAAAAAAGAATAGAAGAATCGTTATGCCTTTTATTAATAATGACATTTGTAGTGTACATGTTTATAAAAATTATAAAACTTTTCGGTACTTTTCCGTTTCGCCGGCGCAAATCTCGCCAAGCAGACTTTATTGACGACAACATACAGTATACACATAAAAATTTTTAAAAAATGTTAGTTCTAAGAATTCTTTTTTTGAAGACAAACATTTTAATATCGCTTAAAATTTTATAAAAAGCCAATAAACAAAGACAATAAATTTGTAAAAAGATATTAATTTAAGAATTTTACTATACTTTTATGGTTCAACATCCTGATTCGCCGGTTCATATCACGTGACCCCAAGCGATTTCATCTCACGTAAACTACTCTACAAAAATCTAATGCTCTCAGTAATTATCTACATTAATTTCAAGTTAAATCTTAATTTGGAACACAAGTTTAAATACAAGTTAAATGCATCTTAGTTTGGAACACAAGTTTTTAGCTATTCATACGAATAGCTTACTCAGAAATTATGTAAAACTGCAGTGCTTTACTTCGATAATGCATTCTCATTAGAACTGATGAATTTAACCCTTGACTTTACCTTTTCTATATTTTCGGCTTCGGGTAAGCGCTGTGATTGCATCCTAATTGACTTAATTACCGAAAATAGCCTTAGACATAAAACTGAACTATCTGATAAAAATTCTGTGTAATTATATGCCAGTATTGAAAAAAACAATCAATCTGGTAAGAAAAAGCTGCGACTTGTTTTGAAAATGAGGCGTAAAAGGTTACCAGCGAGAATATTCCGTTTGGCATCGGTTGTACCATTATTGGCGACTTTATCGCTTGCGCCAGCAAAACGGAAAAGTACCAACTTTTCTTTTCTAATATGAATTATATAGATGCAAGATAGAAAATACTAAATCAAAATTCTAATTTTAATTTGCAATAACCTCTAACTCTCCATCTGAATTCAGTTATTTATCCTTTCCATCTGAAAACAGTAAACTTGCTTATAACAAACCGCTCCACACATTGCAAAAATTATCTTTCTCGCGTGATACTTACAAAACGCTAAAAATGGTGAGACGCTTCAGCCAAGAATAATTTCAAATTAGCAAACCGAAACTAAAATTAACCATTCAGAATGGCGATAAATCAAAACCAACTCATTCTGAATCGGAACCGTCATATTGGATATGCTGCACTCTTCGTCTCGCATCGATGTCTTGCAAGATGCTTCCTCCACTGCTGCACTTTCCCAGAAATTGGAAATATAAATATTCGCTAAACAACGGACGTATTTAATGGCTGCTAATTTAATAATAAATAGATAACTTTCCTCTTGACATCAAATAATAGTTCTTTTACTTTACAAATAAACATGTACTTCGCTGATCAATACACGGAGAATTAGAACTTTTATATCAGCATCCTTGACCTTAGAATATACACGTACGTGACCGGTCGCATTCCTCTTTTTTTCCCCCCCCCCTCCCTGCCATCATAACCTTGCGTTTTCTATTTTTTCACTTCTTCTCTATTACATAGATTGCTCATATCTTAATCGATTTATTAAACCGTCACTTTTTGCGTCTTCCTTTCGTACCGAAATCTTAAAGCGGCTAACTTCTTTCGCATGAATGCTCGTTAGATATTTTCCCACTGCTTGAAAACAGTGCGCCGCCTAATGATTATTTTTATAAATCAAATCTCAAAGCTTTCAGATTTTACATTACAGCTAAAGGGGTGTTTTTTTTTTTTAACTTTTTTTGTGTTCCCTTCTAAATATCATGTTCTTCGCACTTGAACAGTAAAATTCAATTCGACAGCAATATCAATTTCATCTTTCCCTCCCCCTTCTTCTTGCATACAATTGTAGAGCTTTCAATTCTGAACGCAACAATGTTTGAACTGTAAAAATAACTAAAACAGAATGCGAGATATGGTCAAAACTGTTCCAGACTAGGCGGAAATTTTTGTCGCCATGTTGGGGACTTCTTGCCGACCTGAAGATTTTTCTATGGGACAACACATTTTCAAAGCCCTACAACTGATTATTTTAGAAGTTTCTAAAAGCCCATACTACTGAACATAAATGTGGGTCCAAGGGGAATAGGAAGCTCAGTTCTGAATCAGCTGTGAGATTTAGCGATTAGCTGAGTTGCAACTTGAGAATGATTTTGAGAATTGACGATATTCTCTCTAAATGACCTTTCTTTTAGTTCCAAAATTGAAGCAGCTGTTGTATATTTCACATTACAGAAACAATGATAAAGCAAAGCTTCTTCAGAAATAATTTTAGAGCTGTGGCAAGTAACTCTTTCTGCTGGAATACAATGCCTGTCTGATTGAAATGTGTATTGGAAGGTAATTACACATAAAACTGAAGTTATTTTGGACATGACAATTCATATAGGCTTAGAACTTACTAAATGTATCTTGTACGGCTATCAATCACTTTTAAGCGAAATGTTGACAAACATTCCCTAAGAAAATCCCAATATTTCATATTTAACTATCTAGGATTTAAAAACGATTTCTAAAGTTTACCAATTTCTTATGACAACCGTCACTACATAGCAGGACACTTAATTTTAAAAATCATGCATATACAAAACCCAAAATGGCAATTAAAAAAAAAAAAAAACTTACCTCTGTTACATCCATAATTTTGATTGCTGCTAATTGGCCAGTTTTTGTGTGACGACCCTAAAAGAGAAAAAAAAAATTCAATTGAAATACATTGCATAATCTGAACATCATTATCAACACAGAACTTTAAAAAATCCCAATACAAAACACAACTATTTTTCTTAATCAAAGCACTTACAGTAATTCCTGTCAATGAAGTATTTGGAATAAAAATCATTGAAATATCAGAAAGGCAACAATCACAGACTTCATATTACAAGCAAAAAGGGAAATAACTAAATAGTTTATACAGGGCTCACTATTAGAAGGGTTCATACAATGTTGAATAGAAAATGTGATTTTAATGATAAGAAGGTGGTATATGAGAAGATTTCAAGTACTAATGTAAGAACTGCTGGAAGCAAAAAGATTTTTCTATTAAGACATCATCATTTTTAAGACAAAAGAAATTTTGCATAGAGGGAAAATACCAGCAAGCTAAGGCAACATTGCAGAGGAAGAATGAATGCAAGATATGAAGGATCATAACAGATCTGACTTACATGCAAACAAGAGCACATTTTGGTTGGTCATGCAGTTGCATCAAATACTTTGGTGCAACACAGCCATCTCAAACAACACTTAGGCTTTGTTGCACATAAGTTCACATAATGTGAGACATCCTCTGCAGCAGTGGAACATCTTCTCTAAATGAGCATTACTTCAATACCAATGATTCTACAGCACAAGTGTCTGTATCTGCTGTGATGGCAAGTGACAAAATACTGCCCTCCCACTGCTTTTCTAATGAATTCTCTTTTGTGTGCACAATTACAGTGGGCAAATTACAGTGCAACGGGCAAATACAGCAATATAAAAATTCTCTACGCTGTGTCACTGTACAAGATATCACCCAACCTCGTGTCTTACAATTATTCTTGGAATTCTGAACAGTGAGAAGTGTATCACTAAGGTACAGCAGCTTTTGCTCATACCTGCTTATCAAGGCATTCATGAGATAGTTTCCCAGTAGGCTAACATAGCATGCATGTCCAAGAGTACCTGGACCCTATTCATACCAACGATGAAATTCTCGGCATGGATTTGTACCAATCATATCATGTCTAGTTTTTTATACCCAGTAATGGTACTGATCATACACAGGTATGTGCCAGCTCATCTTCTCCATACAAAACAGTGGTCTACTAGTTACTGCCACCTTTTATGGCCACATATGATACTGCCTATTTTGTAATCCATTACAGCTAACATGGTTTCCTTCATAATTATTTCACCTATTTTATAGCATCATCTAATTACAAATTACATATTAAAGAAATGTGAGAGTCACAATTTTAATTTCCAGCTTCAGATACTAAAATATCAGACTGAGAAGACTACAACGCTTACATAGACTGATTGCAAACAGTGGCAAATCATGGTTTTCATTGAAGGGGACCAAGTGCAAAGAAGAATTATAATCCTCTTTCAAATATCTATTCATGGTCAGTAGTGGTAGCTGTAATGAGATGATATTACTGATGTTCATTTATGTTCTCAGAAATACTGGTCAAATACAGGCAGAAATACAGAGGTGGTTGACATGACAGGCTCTACTGTATTTTTAATATAAAAACTAACAATACTCATACAGTGTTACATAATATGCTCTGATAAAGTTGAAAAAAAATTAAATAAAGTGGGAAAATCCAAGTGATCCTACAATAAGCAATTTCAATTTGATAGATAATACAGAAGCTAATGAATTCCTGAAAAATTATCATTTTAATTTGATAGATAATACAGAAGCTAATGAATTCCTGAAAAATTATCTATCTCAAAAAAAAAAAAAAAAATAACACAGCAAAACATATAATTTTACATATACTGAACACTTGAACTGCATTAATATTCCCCTCTGAAATGGTAAGCGTAATGTGTGATTTTTACATAAATGAGAATACATGACAGAGCTGATCTCTTGCTTCATAATCATGAAGGCAATCATAATCACAAAGAAAGATTCATGACACTAACAACTGATTTTGTCAAGTCAACTGATTTGAACAGGATGCTATAAGCCTATTTGCACATGTTTATAATAATCTCCGGTGCAGAAACTCGTTTTTCATATTGTTCCCCCTCTCTGTTTTAAACTCAGAATTACCGCATCAACATATTTTACTTAATTCTTTCTCATATTACAAAAGCACTTTCATGAACACTAAATATAATATTAAAAATTAAATTCACTTAAAAGAGTCATGAAAACTAAAATATCTTACAGGTGATCATCATTAGTTTAGTCATTAGTTGTAATCTACAATAATTATGGGAACAGGTGAAAATCAGCTAGTGCTTCCTTGTAGTGTATGAATTGTATTTCCTTTGAGTTTGTACAAGAATCCAACTGCAGTCAAACGTGTGTGCTTTTGAAAGGTAACTTCAGTTGAAAGGTAGATTCAGTTTTTTTCGTTTGTGCCTTTAACAAAAATGACTTTCCTGTTCGCTTTAAATTTATAAAAACTTTATTCAATACTTTTCTTCTTTTTTGTCTATATGATAAGAATTACCTTATGTACTATCAAAATTATATAAATACAATATAAACCCTCTAGTGGCAACTGAATCTTGAAGAGACAAGTATTTCCAAGAACATGAATGAGTACTGACATTTAGCATTGCCCCTCTAAAATGACCACCTTCAAAAAACGACAAAATCAGCTGGAAACATGTGAAATTATACAAGTCACCTTTTAAAGCCAAGCTTCTCAAACTTTTCAAATTATACGTCACATAAATGAAAACAAAAAATTATATATACCTATGTACAAAAGGGGCACCATACTACTTTCATTTTGACATTTATTTTCAATCTCCTGTGTAAAAACTGTACATCCAAAAAATAATGTAATGTACCAAACATTTAAAAAATAAGCAACAGTAAGTCATAATGTACCAGAAATAATTTAGTTTCAGAAACTCTGTTGTAGAGAGTTAGCATGTGATTACTGAGATGAAGGAGCTACGTCTCATTTCAATAAAGAGAAATCATGGGAATGTGGTAATGAATAGCAATTCTAAATAAATAAAAAAAAATTACATAATAAATAATGCTTCTCACGGTTGATTTTCAAATAATGTATTAGCTTTACTTCTTAAAATTACTGTACATAATATGAATTATGAAACAAAATACATTTCATAATTTATTATATAATTATCTTGAACGGATAATTTCATTTACATTTATTATATAATTATTCAATTTACTTTTATTTTCAAGGACCATCAGCAGCTTGGGGTAAAGTCGCTGAACACTTAGTTCATTTCATTCTGTTTAAATATGCAAAATAGGACAAAATCAAACTCCCGTCAAATGCTGTTAGCCTAAGAAGATGCTTTGTATCCGTCCACGGTGCAAATAACCGTGTTATTCGTCATAAGCCAAAATACGGTCATCACATTTTTAAATCATTTTATTTTGCAGAAGTAATAAATCTCAGTTTTCTGAATTCAATCCGATTACGTTAGTCATGCATTCCAGAGGTCAAAATTGTTAACAGATTCCACATTATTTTCCAGAAATTCAAACCGCAAACGCCAAGTGGATTTAATATGCACCCATTCCATTTCACAATTATTCACCACCAGTTTTACCCTAATAACCACTGGCGGTCAATATGCAACGAAGTGACCGGCCGGGAGTAACGGCCGTGACCTCTAACTACTGTCGACGACGGCGACAACTCGACTCATCCGGCAGCAACGCGAAACGCCTTTATCATTTATTAACGATTTTTTTACGTTTGTTGACTCCGTTCTAATTGAGTTTAAGCATCCACTGACTCACACATACTGCGCACGTGTAAGATAAGGAGGAGGAAAGGCCACTCACTGCAAGCGCAGTGCAAGGAATGGAAGTTTCACCAATTTGACATTTTTTTTCCTTTCTTTGCCCGCAGCACAAGGAAGTTCCACGCACGAGAAATAACAATGTGTTGTACACAGTCGCGCGCCTGAAATATTGGATTGAGAAGACAATAATTTCGGGTTTTTAGTGTAAAATAAATATAAATTTTTCCTTCACAAAAAATTAATTTTAATCGGTCAAATTACTCTATTCTGTTCGATGACGTTGTGCCATCTTTCTGGTAATTTCACGATTCCACGCTCGTACAACTTCTGGTCTTTATCACGAAAAAACGCAACTAAGTGAAATTTGAGGTCAGCATCATTACTGAAATTTTTACCATTTAAGAAGTTTAGTAAAACTTCGAAATAAATGACAATCCGAAGGTGCAAGATCGAGGTTATATGCGGGATGTGACATCACGTCCCAAGCAAGCTCCAATAATTTCGTACGTGCTGCTAACGATGTCTGAGGCTTCACATTGTCGTGGTGGAACGCGGATTCCTTTGCGATTTGTCATTCCTGGTCTCTTCTCTTCGATTGCTTCCTCCAGTTTCATAAATTGTGAGCCGGACTCATCTGAGTTGATTGTTTGATAGCTGAAAAGCAGCTCAAAATATACACCTTTGTAATCCCACAAAACCGACATGATCTTTTTCTGAAGCAATTTGGCTTCCGATATGATTTATGATGATTCATGATCCTGGGACCATGATTTTTTTCGATTAATGACAATTAAGACGATCGATTTTTTTATTACCACTGATAATTTGTTTCAAAAAAGGGTCGACCACATTACGTTTGAAATGGGTATCGCAAACACTGATTCGTGGTATTATGTGAATTTCTTTTAATTCATACCGAATCCAAATATCGAGCTTCTTAACAAGTCCAAGACGATTTTCAATTGTTGTGCCTGATACATTTAGTCTTTTTGCTAGCTCTCGCACAGTTATATGGCGATTCGATTCAATTATGTCTTTCATCAACTTAAGCAGAATGGATGGAACACTAGTCATTTTCATAACGAAATTTTTTAAATCAATTCTGACACATGCACTCTATTACCGTTATTTATTCTCATATTTCAACTCCTCGCGTAATCTTCCCCCTAGGGTTTTCAGCACAAGATTTCGAAACTTCTGATGCACAGTAACAA